GGTATCCGCCAAATCTGTCAGATGATCACAACTCCGTTTGCTCTTCACCAGCATATCGTCTATGTAGACCTCCATGGTGTTGCCGATCTGCTTTTTGAACATCCGATTCATCAGCCTTTGGTATGTTGCCCCGGCGTTCTTCAGTCCAAACGGCATCACTTTGTAACAATAAACTCCCTTCGGAGTGATAAATGTCGTTTTTTCCTGATCCGGGGGATAAAGAGGGATCTGATGATATCCTGCTCGGGCATCCAGGAAGTCCATTCGTTCATATCCGGCTGTGGCATCTACCAGCTGGTCCACCTTTGGCAGGGGGTAGTCATCCTTGGGACATGCCTTGTTCAGATCTGTAAAGTCTACGCAGACACGCCATTTCCCCCTTTCTTCTTTGCGCATACCGTATTGGACAGCCATTCTGGGAACTGTATCTCTCGAATGGCATCGGCCTTCAGGAGTTTGTCGATTTCCTCGTTGACCGCGTTGGTGTGATGCGGGGCCATGCGTCGTGGCCTCTGTTTGACTGGCTTGTGCGACGGGTCAACATGCAGCCTGTGTGTGATTATCTCGGGGTCTACCCCGTCATTTCCATTTCGTTCCAGGCGAACACGTCTGTATTTCCCCTTAGGAACTCGATCATCTCCTCCTGTTCGGCTGTGGGCATCGAGGTCCCAACTAAGAAATACCTCTCTTCTTCTCCCTCTACCAAGGGCACCTTCCGGAGGTCTTCTACCGACCGCTCAGTTGGGTCTATCCGGGGGTCATCCATTCCTGGACGCCCGGACTGTAATTGCTATTTTTCCATAATCTCTTCCGGTGCTCGCCCCTTCTCCTGGCTGGACGCCCCGGCTCGAACGGCTGAATAAAAACAATTCTTCGCGGACGCTTGGTCCCCCCGGATCTCCATGATACCCTCTGGCGTGGCGAATTTTAACTTCTGGTGGAAAGTGGAGTGCACCGCTCCCAACGCATGCAGCCATGTTCGCCCCATAATCACGTTGTAGGGAGAGTCCGTATCGATCACAACAAACTCGGTGTCGATGATAAAGGGACCAGTGGCAACTGGCAATGTGATTTTCCCCACGGGCAAGGCGAATGAGCCGTTGAACCCGATGAGGGGTGTCCTGACTTTGGTGAGGTCTTTGGGGCCAAGACCCATCCGTTTCAAAGTTTCGAAGTACATCACCTCCGAGGAGCTTCCTGAGTCTATCAAAATCCTCTTGACATCGAATTTCCCTATCCTCAGGGTCAAGACAAGGGCGTCGTTATGAGGTGTCACCACGCCTGTCAAATCCGCGTCGGAGAATGTAATGCCAAGCTCACCCGTCCTGGCCCTTTTACTTGATGGCCCCACATCACCCTCGGCTACCTTCCTTGTAAAAGCTACCCTCTTGAGGTCGGACTCGAGCTCCTTGGACGTGGGGCGCTCCAGGGGACATATATGAATGACGTCTATGATGTTGTCCGGTTCCTCGGTCGGGGCAAGGGCTCGTCTCTCTTCTGGCCTGGGCTCTATGTACTCTTTCAAATGTCCGTCTCGGACCAAGCTTTCCAAGAACGATTTGAACACCCTACAGCTTTCGGTGCGATGCCCGAAATCCCGGTGATAGGAACACTTAACCTTTTGATCACGGGTGGAGGGGTCGCCCTGCATCCTGGGCGGCCATTTGAAGAACGGCTCGTGCTTGATTTTATGGAGCAGCTTGAAGATGGGTTCCTTGAACACGGTGTGAATTCCTTTGGACGGACCCCCTGGAGGGGGTAGCAATCCCTTTCGGGGAATATCTTCGCGCTCCTTCTCCTTTCTCTTAGATTGGAGGGCTCGGCCTTTGTTGCTTCCCATCTCGTCCTCAACCCTCGAGTACTTGTTTATCCGGGCCATCAGTTCCCCCATATCCGAGGGAGTCTTCTTGGTCAGGGATCGGTACAGGTCCGTGTCCCTCGCCAAGCCGAGCCGGAAAGATGCCGCTGCCATGACCTCCGAGCAGCCTTCTACCTCATTGACCTCTTCCCAGTATCGGATGGCGTACTGGCGAAGAGTCTCGGATTCCCTCCGTCTGAGGGTCAACAATGATCCAATGTCTTTGGGGCGCTTACTCCCCGTAATGAATCGAGCCAGGAACTGCCTAGTCAATTCCTTCCAGGACCCAATACTGTTTGGGGGAAGCGCCTCGAACCATTTCATCGCAGAGTCCCCCAAGCTCATAGGGAACACTCGGCAGAGAAACCGTTGGTCCGAATGATAGAGGGACATCATCTGCTTGTATTGCCTGATATGGGCTTCGGGGTCGGACCGCCCGTCATAGGTTTTGAACCGCGGCACGACGAACTTTCTTGAGACCTCCATCTCACTGATTTTCCTCGTAAAGGGTGTTTGTATGACTTCGTCCTCGGCCTCATCCTGGACAGTCTTACCTTTTCTCCTGGAGTCTAATCGGGCTCTGAGATCAACTTCTTCCCTGACGGGATGCCTTCTGAAGTCCCTGAGTTCATTGGTAAGCCCCTCATTTCCTGGGCGTCGTGTGGATTGGTTGAGTCCTCCTCGGATTCATCTCCCTTCCTCCGTCTAGACAAACCTCGCCGGAGGTCGTCCAGGGCCAATGGCCTTGCTTTCCTGGAATGGTTGTCATGATGATGTTCGCCGGCTCTGGGTCGCTTTGGGGCCCTAGAGCTTTCTGCTTTGTGGTCTAGGTGGTTTCTTAGATCCTTCGTTTCCGCCTCCCGGGCGGGAAGTCCACGGGAAAGAAATGAATCCCTCGACCCTCCGCCTGAGGCGGCAAACTCGTCGAGCCGGCTAAGGACGTTTACATTGTCCTTCTCCAGCTGACGTAATCTATCGCCAAATTTTTCTTCAATCACCTCCGCCAGCTGACGAGCCAAGGGGGCTGATCCCCCTGACCTGATTCCCATACTGGTTTGAGGGGTAACCCCTCTTGACCGAGTAGAGGCACTTTTATTGTATTGGTGTGATCCCTCCCTCCGTGATGACAGGGAGCTTGTAACTCGAGACTCCTTTGGTGGGTTCCTTTCCCTTTCTGTCGAGTGTTCACCATGGTCACTGTTCTTTATAGAGAAAAAACTAGGAAAACTAGTCGTTTCCCACAGACGGCGCCAGATTGTGCGTGCAAGATCCTGCACAATATAAAAAACGAGAACAGATCTCTCCCCTGGTGAACTTCGAGTGAGCCAGTTGAGTGACCAACCACGCTGCTTGGAACAGCCTGTGAGGTCCGGTAGTAACCTGGAACGGTAACGGGAGACCCTGGGGGAGCGGATGAACGATCCAGTAAGCCTGAAAGGGGTTCCTGGAACAAAGAAGAACAAGTTAGAAGGGCGCCGGAGTGTTTTCCGGCGTATCCCCTCCGACGATCTAGTCAGTCTTTGAGAGAGAGAGAGAGGAAGAAAAAACACTGAGTGTGTATTGTAGTAAAGAGTTTTTTGTTGCATACCCGTCTTGCCTTTTACAAGGGGTATTTATACCTCAAAAACTCATGATTGCTGTCAGTGTGGTCAGTAGGTGATCATTAGGTACAGGCAGTGTGCGCACTGATTCTGATGAGGAATGTCTTCTTTTCTTAACTGCTCGGGGTCCCGAGCAATCAATGCTGGGTCATCGGGATGCCGACGGTACAATGTGCTCCTCTCGAGGAGGATGCAATAAATGCTCTGTATTAGGAGCATTTATTGCCTTTCATTTCCGAACCTTACCGCATTGAATGCGGTCTCATCAAGGGAATGGTGCAATTAATTGTTTGCTTTCTCATGTCGCGTGTCAGCAACGGCATGCGGTTTTCTGTCTTCGATGTGATATCATACGCCACGTGTCCATTTTCTATTGGCTGTGACCCCTGTATTCTTGTACGTTCTGACAATAATTGTGTAAGACGAGGTCATGATGAATAACCTAGACTAGCCTAGGCTAATGACCTGTACGTCAATAGCTTATCCTGGAGTAGAGGAGGCGTCCTGGACGGGTACTCCTCGGCACCGAGGGAAGGATCATCTCGGCACCGAGGTAGGGACACCGACCGAGGAACCATATCAGACCGAGGCCACGTGTCGGTGTAAAACATACTGAATGTATGATCCTATATGACGAGTACATCGGGGGCGAGGACTTTGTGCGCCGATGGTGCTTGATCTTAGCAACAGTGTTTTAGTAATACCGAGGACACGTGTCTTCATCACAGAGTATTTCAGAAAAGTCCCATCAGATATCCTTGAGTCCATCTACTTCATGATGAGGATATCACTGTCATAAGATACCATCCTAGATGTACCTTAGCTAAGTAAATTCATTTTGCTTTTCATCTCACTTCCTCTCCACTTCTTTCAACTTTCCACAACTTCACCTTCCAAAAATCTTTTAGATGGTTGCTGCTTTCTTTGCGGATGGGACACTAGTTTAACCAAATTGAGCTTTCTAACTTTGACCAAAGTCAAAGACAAAGAAATGATAGGTAAAATCTTTAAAAAAAAAAAAAAAGCATTTTCTGCATTTTCCAGGATGCTTAGAGTTAGGATAATATAATCAAACTTGACTCTACCAACTGTTGGCGAACAACAACAAATAGAACATGGATGTGTTTCAAAAAAAAATTAGGACATTATTTTCAGTGGACAGATTATGCTTTCTTCATGATCAGTATAAATTTAATGCAACCCACTAGAAACCATCAATTGTGAGATAAAGCAATTAATATATCAGACTACAACAGCATCCCACTAAATTTTACCCGATTATTATCCAATTACAAAGCAGAATGAGATTCATCATTTAAAATTCTCTATCATAACACATCATTATTGAACTCAAAAGACTTTATCAGACTAAGATCAATCACATTAACATATTATTTACAATGACATTACATATTTGTGCATACAAATTTCAATTACTTATATCAGTTTTTTAAATACCATAGATTATACAACCAACTTAGCTTTCAAACCTTAAACACAAAATACGTTACCAAATTTGAATATTCCAAATACAATTTAATTCAAAGCTCAACAAATAATCTAAGATCCTTCAGTTGAACTTGGATTTCAATATCTATAACCACATCAATATCCAAACTGGAAATATATCCACCAAAACCAATACATGTACACCATAAAACTTGCCCCATATCCCTCACTACCATTTACAGGTTACTTGTACAAGCAAAATTAGTATGGTGTTTAAAACATTCCCATTTCATTTATCTCTTTCCATATACTAATTGCCAGAGAGTTCAGATCTATGCATTTTCTATCCCTAACATATGAGCACGCAGCAGTGAAAAAACACGCAGGTAATATCAGTAGAGTAGAAAATATTAGACTACAAACAAATGGTAATCCGTCAGCCAACCAACATTACTTTCCCTGGCTACAATTTTTTCCCTGGATATTCATGTAATTGAAACGAAAGCCTGGACCAACCTTTGTAGGGGATGCCATCATCACCGTCCATGGAAATCACTGATGGAGTATATGGAGGACCATTGGAACGGTTTGCCAAATGAGAAGATTTAAGCAAAGGATCTGTAACTCTTTCCTGAGACTTAAATATAAGAAATAATCAAAACAGTGAAGAAAGATTATTTAAAACATGCAATAGGTTGAATATGAGAAATATGACCGAAAACAAGAGAACTACTTTGCCGCCTCCAACCATGAAGGCTGCACGGGGTTATACAATAGGAACCACACCGACAATTCAACCTGGAAAACCGATGGCTTTGTACAGAAAAAAATTTAGAAAATAGTGACTTCAAGACTTCTTATCCCAATGGATTCCTTTATTGTAAGTGAACTCTTGCTGAATGGTGACAGCATAAAAGGAAAGGCATCTTTTCCAGTTCGACAAAAAAAAGGTTTGACTAAACAGAGTACGAGGAGCACCTTCGGGATAAACCTTCGGGATAAGATGCTCATTAGCTGCCCAAAATTAAATAGAAATACGTCCATCCCTGGAATGGGCCCCACAAACCCTTGAAGCTCAACAAAAACTCAAATCCCCAAAATGGGCACCACAGGCTCTGGCTAGAGCCTTAAAATGCCAAAAGGAAGCTCAGTTACAGGCTTCTGACCCTCGGGTCTGCCCCACGGGCTTTATGTGGGACAATCACAAGCCTAAATTTTCCTTGGCCCCACTTCTCTTTTAAATATCTATCACTTCAAAAATGTGAGAAGGCTGTCACACATGCAAGTCTCATATCATTTTGTGATCTTAAACAGCAGATTTTCTGTGCATATGAGATAAGAAAATTCAAAATTTATCAAATGATACAGACAAAGTGGTAGAGGTGGAGAAAATCACTTATTGGTGAACTTATTGAAGGCAAACTTGGAGCAACCAGAGCAGGTTGCCAGTAAAAACACTGAAAATGGTGATAAGTGTAGGACTGAGTTGGTATGAATTGCAAATACAAGTATATAACCAAGCTTTCTACAGAACACTGAAACGCTCCAGTCCATGGCCATCATCAAGCTCTTAAAGGTGAGAAAAATAATGTTTAGTGAACTAAACAATAGTTTAATGAGGAAACCTTTAAGGAGTTCAAAAAGCCACCAATCAAACCATGACTCCAATAGTCCAATTGCTTGTAGAACTTTTTGGTAAACACCCCTTTAGTGTGCTATGGTAATTTGTCAAACAAGAAAAAGGAGGAAAAGATCAAGAAAACCTGTTACTTGAATCCTCGCTCTTCTGTATAAAATGGAGGAGACGGTTGCCCCCCCAAAAAAAAAACAACAACAAGGGACCTTGGCAAGACGATAACGGACAAATGTGTAGAGAGAAGTGAGAGGAAACAAGACAAAGACAAGCAGAGGCACACTCCTGAGTACTTATAAACGTACACATATAACAGATTAAAGAAAATGAGAAGCAAGCTTAGCAGAGCATACCTTTTTGTCCTTATTTTTTCTTGCAGAATTATGATCATCTTTCCTTCGTTTGCCATTTTCCTTTTTCTGGAAATACAAAGGAACCATTTGTGTAATTAACTGTTAAAAGTAGAAAATAATAGGGACATTAAATTGCAATTGATGCCTCTAATAATTTTAATCTTTTCATCAGGTATCAACCAAACCAATTAGCATCATCCAGTTCGCTTCTAATTACTTTTTGGGGGTTACTCTATGGATTATATCAGTAAGCCAGCAACTGACGAGCTTTAGTCACACAAATAAGTTAATTTATCTTCAGCAAGTGACAGTTAAAAAGAATAATGGGAAATTAAAACTAAAAAACTGTGTATTACATACAAATGAATTAAAGACATCCCCAACAGATAAACATTTTGAAAAGATTTGGCATATTTATAAATAAAGCTAAACTATGATCTTCCAGAAAAAACAACAACTAAAAACTGTGTATTACACTCACAAATACAAATACATATCCAACATATGATTTTAAACCTTTTAAGCCAAAAGAAAAAAGGATATCAATCTGTTCTTTTAATGCTTGGACAATCATCACAATTAGGTTGCTCAACCAGTGGTAATACATCAGTTACTTACAGTACAATACAAAGGCATAAGGTTACATTAGGTTAGCTCATCACAACTGTTGTGGGAAGTCCTGACAATTGTGGAAATGACTTATAAACATACATCCCAACAAAATGTGAGAATGCAAAATTTGCATCTAACGATAAACCAAAGGCCCATTATGCCTATTCCCAATTATAATAATCTCATCCGGAAGAAAAAATACGGCAGATCAATAACAATAAGTAAAAAATTTGGAGAAAGATAATCGAGTCAAAAGGGTTTAAAATTAGTACGAATAAGATTGAATACATGCAATGCAATTTTAGTAATAGAAGAAGTAGACACAATAAAAAAGTTAAGATTGAAAATCAAAAAATACCAACAAGTAAATGATTTAGATATCTAGGCTCAATCATTAAAAATGATGGAGATATTGAAAACGATGTAACTTACAGAATCACCACCAGTTAGCTTAAGTGGAGAAAAGCCTTTGGCATTTTATGTGATAAAAGGATACCAATAAAATTAAAAGACAAGTTTTACCAAACAACTATAAGGACAACAATGTTGTATGAAATGGAATGTTGGTTAACTATAAAACAATATAGTGACAAAATGAGTGTACCGGAAATGAGAATGTGAAGATGAATTTGTATAAAAACTAAAAAAGATAAAATACGAAATGACCGTATTAAAAAAATGGTAGAATTAACTCCAATAAAGAGGTACCGCATAAACAATGAGAGAGAATAGACTAAGATGATTTCGGAGGCCGACAGAGGTACCGCTTAGAAAAATTAATAAAATTTCTCTTAAACGTATTAAGAGTAGCTTAGTAGGGGTAGACCTAAATTAACATCGAATGAAATACTAAAAAAGATATGAAAATATTTAACTTAAATGAGTGTATAATAAATGACCAAAATGAATAGCAAAGACAGACTCATATCGCCAACCCCTTGGGACATAAGGCTTGGTTTGGTTTTAGTTATACTTGATCAAACTTGTTTTCATTTCCGTAAAAAGAAAGTCTTTTTTCATTTTTTTTTTTTTATGGTTTTACTTCATATATTCTTTTTATTCACATCTACGAACCTAAGCACATATAATTATATGCTATAAATTTTAAATGTTCAATCACTCATGTACATAGCTGCATCCGCTTGCCCAAATGTTGCAAACTTGTCGTATCTAAGTATCTAACACATATAGCAGTGTTGCAAACTAGCCATGCATAACACCTTGAAGCAGCATGCATGGATTTTTTGCTCAATTTTTTTGAAACTTATTGGTAGGATATCATTTCAAAAACAATTATATTCATGCATAATGACACATTAACATAATGTACTTAGAATTATGCATGTATACGCAGCACAACGTATCACCACCACATCTTTGACAGTTTGATATAGCTTAAAGATATTGCATTTGCCACAACAAAAAGTTTTGTTTAAACTTAATCAAAGTGAAAAAGTTCTACATGCATCAAGTTGGAACATTTGAAATAGGCTTTAGCAACTTTTTAAGTCAAACTCAATAATGCTTTCAATCAATTCACATATCAAAACAGATATGATATTAAATATTTAAATGGCTTAAACAAGAACAACTTAGTATGAGGATCCAATTTTTTATATCATGCTAAGTTGTTTTGTATAAACCAAAAGTTGAAGGTATTCACTCAGCTGATTCATAAAATTTCTGTAATGGATATTATTTGCTTTTTGTGTGTGACAAAAAATTCAATGCCAAATAGTCATAAGAATCAAAAAAAAATAAAAAAAGAAAACTACAATAGGAAATTGAAAGCTTACACTCATCCATCTACATCGCAATGCCACATCCCGAACTGTCTTATCTGTTAATTGCATTGCAATTTTAGCATAACGAACTATCTTGGTTTCTGAGGCATATCTGCAAAACAGTACATTGCCATGTAACCTTAGTATGAAGTGCATGCATTGCTTAAAATACAGTAAGCACAACTAAGCTACATGAAATCATGATAAGGACAAAAAATAAAATAAAGGTCAGTAATAATATACTAATCTTAGACCTTATGACTAAAAAGAACATGCACAACCATGCCAAGTCAATACTCATGGTTGTTGCATTTTAACTAAGTTTATTAAATTCCAGTAGAACCATAGTTATTTGTAACTAATAAATCTTTTCTTTATAAAAAAAATGGGGGGGAATCCTTTTCTTTACATATTGGGAACATCTATACTTATCAGTGAAAGCGTATAGAGAACCTAGACTAATACAACAATGTTAAAAATCAGATATAGAAAATTCACGATGCGCAACATAGAACACTGACCATACCAATGCAGATGAGTGAATTGATGCAAGTTGAGGATGCCATGAGGACAAGAGGAAGGCCAAAAAAAGCTGTGTTGAGGCCATGCCAATATGCATAACTGCCATGGACTTAATCCGGTAGAGTAGCTCACAGAGTCAAGTGCATAACAGGATTTGCATAGTTAACGCCATGTAGCTATGATTTAAGTGAGTAGAGTTGAGTTGAAAAATAACCAAGCCTTTTCGAATCACATTGATTAGTGGTTTGAGTCATTTAATAAACATCTAAAGATGGGTGAAACTGCCCCATACTCTGGGTGGGCCATGTAAGATTTATTTGTTTGGATTATATGAAATTTTGCTTGAGAAGGCAAGTAGAAGTTTGGAAACAAATCTTCACACCACGAGGAAAAAGCTATTGACCCCTAAATGAATTTCCATCTTTTAGCTTGTTGAGTGTGATCAGTCTTGTAAAAAGAGCATGATTGTGGATTTGAAGTCAAATACATTGATCTATACAAATGTTCAATGGTCTACTCTCCTTGAATAGTTACATTGGGAAAAGCAAAATCTATGTTTTACTAGATTCCATATAACTGCAGGAATAATTGAATTGAATGAGTTTTTATCAATCTACAAATGATCTTCTAAATTCACATTTACATACCTGGGGAAGTAAAATATCCTTCCATATTGTCTGTTAATATCCTTCAAGCCCTTAACGAAAAAATATATCAACCAGTAATCCGAATTTGCCCCTTTTTCAATAGAGTTAAGGAGATTGGCAATAGCATGACTATTGGTCAAAACCATCAATATGTATAAATGTTGAAGACCTAAATTCCCTTTTATTGTCTTGTGGAGAATTCAAGATTTGCATGTTAATTTCAAATCTTAAAATGAAATTCACCACAAACTCCACGGCTAAACTCGAAATTCCAACAGAGAACCCAAATAGAGCCAAATAACACAACGCATAAAAGGAAAGAAAATCAAGAATACAATCACAAATTCCAGCAAGAATCGAGGAGGAGTACCAACAAAGTTGACACTATGTGTGCATGCCCATAAACACACGCACATAGAGACAGGTTTGGTGAACAATTCTTCCAAGAAAGCAAAGAAAACTCAATGTCAATACAAACCCAAAAATACCCACCTATTTAAGTATGAGCTAACATATGTATACATACCCATAAACACACACACACACACACAGACTGACTGGGTGACCCATTCTTCCAAGAAAGCAAAGAAAACCCAAATCAAGACAAACCCACAACTACCCACCTATGTACGTATGAGCTAACATATGTATACATGCAATAAACACACACAGAGAGAGAACGAAACTGACTTGGAGAGCAATTCTTCCAATAGGGACTGCTCCTCGGGAGTCCATTCAACAGAGATACCCGGGTTGTGCCTCAACGCTGCCTGAATCGGGCCCACAACCGAATTCTCCGGCACCGCAACACCACCACCGTTATTGGTGGCGCCATTCCCATTGCTCGTCCCTTCTTGATTATTCCCTGACGGGTTCGCACTCGCGGCCATCAAAATCTACCAATACCTTCCTTCCTCTTGCGAAGAAACCACCACTCTCAATAATCTATATGCCAATAACTTTTTGAATTCCCGTATTTAATACAATTATACAATTGGAAGTAGCTAAGCAGCCGACGAGGAAAAAGATTGCGAATATATATATATATATATACAGAGAGAGAGAGAGAGGGTACGGAACACTGGTAATGCAATCCTTCGCTAAAATTTAAGCAACTTGAGCATCCATGGGGGGAATATTTTCTGTGATTAGACTTCTTGAAATTAAATTAGAGCCCCAGTGGATCACTTTTTTCCTTCTTTGGCCCCCTCTTTAAAGTCCCCCTTTTTTCGGTAGAATAATATATAATTGTTGCAAAGCCTTTTGTTTTACAATTATTTAATTTAATTAGTCTACACTTCCGGGTCTTATTTTTCCTTAATCTGATCCAAATATGAATAGTCAGATATAAATTAATATTTTTTATCGATAATTTGAATTCAATATCTTATATTTTACGGATTCATAATTGGATATACATGTATATATTTTGAATTATTTATATATTTTTATATAAATATTAAAAAAATTTAGTAGAAATTTTTATATATATCTTAATTCGATGATTAATAATGATAATCCCATACATATTTTAATGAGCCTTATTGGTAACTCTCAATTTTAATCATTTCTCACACTTTCTAAACGTCGGTAGTTACCGCATTACAAATTAATCTATTTTGAAAGGAATGGATGAATATGCAAGCTTTTAAAAAGGCATATTAGTAAATTGACCCAACACCACTCAAGATCTCCGCTTTCCGCCCAAAAGGGGGCTGATTGGCGGGTGGAGTGGAATCCCTTTTTCACCCTCTTTTTCATTCCACCTTGTTTTCTTTTTATACCAAACAAGGGAAATTCTTTCATTGCCACCCTGTTTGCTTTTCATACAAAACGAGGTAAATTCTTTACTTTTCTGCCATTTTTCATCTGTTTTGAGTATAAAATTTATGTGATATAAGGTTTTATATTCATTTTACTCTAATTCAATAGTATATTATACCCGGTGTTAAACTATAATCTCATCCTTCTCCTTGTTTATTTATCATAAATATTATTTGTGTAATACTTATTTAAAAAAATCAATAATTGCGGTTAACCAATGTAAAAGACAATTTTAACCTTTAAAAAGTCAAAAATTGCGACTAGGCTTTTATATGAGAATTGTACCGGAGGGCATTTCGGTCTTTTTAGTTTACAATATTTATACCAAAAATATAATACCACCCCCTAGGTGGTATTCATTAAGATCTTCTACAAAACATTATGGCTACTGTTCATAACGAGTCGGTATTACGACCCGAAAAATAGTACTGACTATAAAATATCAAACAAACAACATATAAGATGGGTCTCACGTACTATTTTCTTAATATCACCTCTTTATACCACTCTAATACTCAAAACAAACGACTCCCTATTGTATCTTCTATCCGATCAAACAGAGGGATAAAGATAATTTAGTGGTTGAGTATGATAATTGATAATTCAGAAATTTCAAGTTTAATTATTTTTTATACTCCTAAAGACTAGCACCCTTGTCTTTAAAAGAATATACTGTAATTTAACTCAAATTATGTTGATCAATTATTAAATTTAAAGAAATAATCGATACAAACTTTAACGGTCTATAGTAAAAAGAAAAACTAAGAATTCTTAAATAAGAGATCAACGATTTCGAAATTAAACTCCTTTTATAAAGTTAAATTTACTTTTACAGGATCATTTTTTAACACGAGTGGTCACGGGAGTTATGATCCTTGGTTGGCTCACGGGGGCAGGTGTACATGATTGGCTAACAAGGACAAGTTGGGATCAACATAATTTTGAATATATATATATATACTTTTATTTTTTTGATGGATCATTTGTCCCAATCAGACCTTTATTACTGTCGATCTTGTTATATGGTATAACTAGTTTATTGCCGGTGTCTTCAGGCACATAGTAATAAAAAAATAATAAATAATAAATATATTTATATTTATATTTAAAATCAAATCACAAACATAATATAAGAGATAAAAAAATTTAAACATTGGTTTGTAATAAGATGAGAGGTTGTGGGCGACAATAGTGGTGGTAGGAGACTGTGATGATTGTGGTGGGTGGCAATGACCGTGATAAAAGTGGCAGCGGTGATGGTGGTGGTGGTGGCAGTGGCAATGGCGGCGACAGCGGTGGAAGCAACGACGGTGGTAGTGGTGACAATGGCGATGGTGGTGGTGGTAGTGGTGGCAATGGCGATGGTGGTGGTGGTGGTGGGGGGCGGCAACAGCAGTGGCGATGGCGGCGATGACGATAGTGGCGGTGGTGGTGGTAGAGGTAGTAGTAGGGTGATTTCAAACATTATTTTTTTTTTAAGTATTTATGAGAAATAATTTATAGAAGTATTTTTAAAAAATCACTCCAAAGTCCAAACATACCCTTAGACCCCTATTTTTCTTATTAAATTTATGGTGTTAATATTAGTCGTTAGATTAACTTTAAGATAAAATTTAAAACAATCTCTACCACAAATAATAAAAATTATTTTGTTTATTTTTTGAAATTTGAATTATAAGTTATTTTATTGTATAGATTATTTAATTAAAAAATAATAAAATAGACATTTTTTCTTTACTTGAGGTAGTTATATATTGTATGGGTAGTAATTATTGACATAACCGCTATACTTGATATTTTCTCTCAAAAGAAACTTTATTGGAAGTATTGGGCCGTAAGCGCTGGGCTTCCTTTAGACGGCCCGCAACGACCACTAATGTATCGTGAAGCCCGTTACCTGTGAATAGAAGGGTACAATAGTAAATTCACGGTAAAAATTAACGGATCTTATGGGTATTGTAGGAAATCTAGTTAGCACTTAGCACGCGCTGGGCATTAGGATTTTTGACCGCTGTTTCTCTCCCTCTCTCTCTCTTATCCTTGTCTGGGACGTGAAGAAGCTTCTCTCTCTCCGCCATGGAGAACAAACCCCAATCATCAGGTGCATACAGCTGAATCTAATTCTTATTTCTGTATATTTCGTTCTCATATGACTTGATGGATTTGGTCACATATGTTTGGAGGCAACCGCTATGGCTAGGGTTTTACGTCGTCGTGAATTGATTGTTTGCCTATGAGAATTTAGTTATATCTTGTTGGTTGCTCGAGAAATTGTGCAAGGGTAACAGGAATTGACTGAGAAATCTTTAAAAATATAGTTCAAGTTTTTTAAGTTATTTTTCCAATTTAACTGCAATTCCCTCCCGAGATATGCTTCATAATGCTATCGATTATGGTCCGACTGGGTTCTTTATAAATGGGTTTGCTATGTGTTGTTCTAACGCACTTTTTGGGTCACCCATCACTTTGTTATTCAATGGGTTAATATCCAATTCCATTAATGATTAAACTTGTCAATGGTACTCTTCAACCCTGATTTGTGCTGTATTAATCTCCCTTTAGTACTACTTGGCAGCTTGGAGAATCTTCTTTTCCATTGGGTACGATTTATGACTTTTTGTATTTTGTTCTCAAAATTATTGCTGAAATATTTGTATATTTTTAACCATTACTTTGTCACTGCAGGTAATAGCCCTCCACCAAAACCATGGGAACGAGTTGGTTCCTCTTCTGGGCCTGGACCTTTTAAACCCCCCTCTGCTGGCAGCACTAGTGATGTAGTTGAGGCTTCTGGAACAGCAAAACCTGGTGAAATTGTTGCTACTGCTGAGAGGAACACAATTGCAAATAACAACGCACTTGGGAGACCTGTACCTACTAGGCCCTGGGAGCAACAGACATACAACAACACTTATGGAGGTATCTTTTTTCTTATTTTTAAGTTTGTTACCTGCAATTTCATGATATAAAGGTTGCATCTTTATTTTCTTGCCCAAAACTAGTCATTTTTTGCCCCGTGAGGCTCTTCATGTCTACAACAATAAACTCATACTCTGCATTCTTTCGGAAATGTTATTGCAGCCCACCCATATTTTCTTGTGATGTTGTGTCTCTTAGTAAATTAATATGTTCGCTTTCTCACATATCACAATAGGATAAATAAGACCGCCTTTAATGAACTTGTGGATATCCGTTGTACTAGAATCGACATGTAAACAATAAAAACTGAAGACAGGACAGTGTTACTTTTACATGCTTCAAGGGAAAGTTTGGTGCAAATTGAGGTTGAGAAGAGATAGCTCAAGCCATGTGCTTTTGTGGGAGTTTTCTGTCAATATACTGACCTACCCTTGTTGTGTATGATGGAGCTCATCATTTGACTATGTTCCATGCAGGTTCTGGATCTAGCTTGAATTATAATTCTGGTTATGGATCGGGGATGTATGGTTCCTATGGTGGAGTCGGAGGGTCTTATGGTGGGAGTTTGTATGGAAATAACATGTATAGAGGAGGTTATGGTGGGCTTTACGGAGGTGGAGGTGGCATGTATGGTGGGGGAATGTATAATGGTGGTTTTGGAGGCCAAATGGGTAGTTATGGCATGGGCATGGGGGGACCATATGGCGATCAGGATCCAAATAATCCATTTGGTGGTCCGCCATCTCCACCAGGCTTTTGGATCTCCTTTTTGCGGGTGGTAAGCCAATCCATCTCTCTCTCTCTCTCTCCCCCCCAAGTCATTTTGATATGCATAGTTGTCCTTCTCAACTCTTTTTATTGTTTTAGCTAATTACTGCTCTTCCTAAATCCAGAATGGCACCTTGTATTTTCAAGTGGATATGGCATTGCCATTGAACAGTTTTGGATGGTAGTTTTAGTAGAACACAGGAGGGCGTCAAGTCATATTATCCATGAGTAGTAAATTGCTTAACAGTTGCTGTTAATTTGTAAACATGCCTCCACAATTGTTAAAGTTCACATTACCCCCTTCTTCTGAACATTGAACAATATAATCTAAAGACAGAGTGTTAAACAAATCACCTATAAGGGAATAGTTGGAATCAGAAAAGCCAGCGTGTGTGCTACTGTCAGAATTTTTATCTTGCAAAACTGATAGCTTCCGTTGGTATATTCTGTCTTCGAAACAGAATCGAAAAAAAGTAAAGGCCACTGCTGGGCGTTGGCCATGTTAATCGAGGATGGTAAAACCTCAGGTTAGCCAGCTATTGCCGCGCTCACAAGATTTCTTTCGAGGAATTGGTTGATGTGCTGGAGTGGAGTTTTGGTTGTGTTGGAGGAACTAATATATATTGGTGCAGTTTGCTTATGTATGAAGGCAATATAATCTGACATATTGATTTATTTTCGTGTTCCGTTCTGATAGTTCCTATTGGTGGCCAGCATGTGCAGCTTCCAATTTGCATATTGTTTGGGCATTTATCTATTGCAAAATGCTGTTAGCCCAAGTGTACTTTATAGTGCTGGAACGGCTATGAATATGGGTTCTCTGGATTGTTTATGCGAAATCTCGTCACATTTTTTGTTTTTCTTTCTGTTTGGCTTTTTTCTACTCTGTTGTTGTGGCGTGCTTGGACATGTTACTTGTGAGTTGTGAACTCAAAATAAGCATTGTCTTTTTGGTTAACCTTTTTGTCTGCAATCTTCTGTGGGCTCATTCCATTTTTAAGATGAAGAAGAGATTTTGCTCAAAAAGGCGAGAGTTGTCTGCCAGCTTATACTTATCGTCTTGCTCCTTTTTAGCTAATATCTCTTAGTGATCATGTTTCTCTCTCTATTTCCACCATTCTTGCTCTTCTTCCTTCTCTGACTATCTTATGCGTTAATTTAAGAATATACTGGAAATTGATGAAAATGTCATTCTCCTTCCATATGCCACATAAGTCCCAATTAATAATTGATCTTTTTATGTGATGGCAGATGCAAGGTGTGGTGAATTTCTTCGGCAGGATAGCAATTTTGATAGATCAGAATACCCAGGCATTCCACATGTTCATAAGTGCCCTTCTTCAGGTAAGTTTGTCTTTTTATATTTTCGTCTTCCCATTTAGTAATTGCAAAATGATAACATAGAATCGGGCTGTTAATATTTGAAATCTACTGAGCCTGTTTCACGTAATGACGAGTGGATATATCATTTGCAGCTGTGTGATCGCTCGGGGTTATTGTATGGAGAGCTGGCTAGATTTGTATTGAGATTGCTGGGGATTAGAACAAAGCCCAAGAAGGTTCAGCCTCCTGGATCTGGTGGACTTCCAGGTCCTCATAATCCCCACGGAAATCAAAACTATATCGAGGGACCCAAGGCTGCTCCGAGTGGTGCGTGGGACAACGTATGGGGAGATAATGGAAGCAATTGATCTGACCCTCTTGCTTTTCATCCTGCCATAGTGAGAAATGGCGGCCGTCTGTATGGTGAGAAGATTACAGGTGAAAGTGATGCTGCTATTGATTGACTGTATAGAATGGATTTTTCGAAGTAGTATTGCTATATGCATGAAATAATGGAAGTCTCTCTCTTGGAAAAAAGACACGTATTTTATTGTGCTGCATTCCTTCAAGTGGTGATCTTGGATTGAACACCTCCCAATGTAAGGAAGGGGAGGTGAAAAACAATAATGTGGTACTAATTATATAATTTGACTTTGAGAGTGTTATTATCTTTCAACAACCTCAATATAATGGTGAATGCTTTGCTTGTGCCAGGACAAGTATAAATGTGGTTCCGATGATCATTGTTCAACCCCAGCATAATCTATAGTAACCCGAACACCCCACGAGACAGTTGAATTTACAAACTAGTATGTTATACTTCCACCTATGCAATTCTCACATTACAATCTCAATGGTTGGGGTCAGGCCAGTTCGACCATCAGGGTCACCTCGTTAACCATTAAAGGACCGGGGCCCGACTAATGAAAACCGATATCCGAAGGAAGAGTAACCTTTCCATAGGGGTCAAATTCAATCCTGGCGAGTCTTGCAGAGACTACCATTAGGTCAGTCCTAATGGGTTTTTGACGGGCCTTAATTGGATTTCTATTAATTATTTGAATAACAAAGATAAATTTGAATTTATTTGAATTTTGACCAACCAATTGGCGGATTTCCTATGGGCCAAACCTTCGGGCCACGGGAGGTTAGAAAATGCTCCATGGCCCAACCGGCTAATAGACTCCAAGATCCGATTGTCGTTTGGGGTTCATGTCATCTCTTAGGCTAAAGGCCTTGTTGAGTCTTAAATGTGTGGAATAATTTATCAGGACAATGTTTTAAGATTTAATTTGGAAACCTAATTCATTGCATCAACCGCTCAAAGCATGGTTTATTTTGGCAAGTCGGATGTTAAATAGAGTAAGGCTGAGGATCTTTTGCTGTTAGAAAATTGACAGCAGATGTGGTATTGATTAAAACGACATCGCTGTGTTAATCAATCACACATCTGCTGTTAAAAATTAACAGCAAGCAGAGGAGCCGGACCCCATAGAGCAAACATATATAGTCTTTCCAGGAACTGAAAGAGGGTTTGAACCTCAATATATATAAACATCGTCAACCAGGTTTGAGGTTTCAGCAAATCCAAATCTTAATGTGTATTTAGTACTTTAAAATAATCTTAACCTATCAGAATTGAAAGGCCCGATCAGGGGCAATACAAATTATTTCTTCTTCTTTGATCTCCACATTCCATCTCATACACTTAAACATCTCTATTGCTGTAGTAGTAATTCTCCGGCACCTACTCATGTACAAAACTGAGAGCCGTTTGCAGCCATTCTTCAAAGCCTGCAATCCTCGATCACACAGATTCCGACACCGGTTCACATGAAGCCTCTCCAAATAACAGCAATGTAACCCAATTGACTCCCAACCTTGTATTCTAATCTCATGACATAATGCCAAGTTCCACTCCTGAAGCGCTGGACACCCTTTTGCTATTGCCACAATGGACTCGTCGGTTATAGCTCTGCACAACCGGAAGTTAAGAATTCTAAGCCTTGTTGCAAATCCGGCACCAATTGCTGCCAAACCATCTCCGTGGATGCACCAGGCTAAATTAGAAACATTCAAATACTCTAGGCCGCCTCCACTGACAACTCCAAATATACCCTCTGGTTTGAGATCACAAGAATCCGCTTCCAAATAGGCCAGAGATTGAGAACACCCTTGAAAGCCAATACCATGGATGTTTGTACAATGTGAAATTTTGACCGCCCGAAGCTGACAGCACTTTTGTGATAGAGCTCTTATTCCATGGTCAGATATAAGTGAACAATGGGATAGATTCACGTCTTTCAAAGATAAACAAGATTCAGCCAAGGTTTTTAAACCAACATCAGTAATGTTGCATCGGTAAAGACTAATTACTGTCAAAGAAGAACAGGCGGTGGCAACCAAGGAAAGACCATTGTCTGTGATTCCAAAACAACAGTCTAGGTAGAGAGTCTGCAACCTTGAGCCATGAAGTTTCAAGTGAGTTAAGCCTGAATCAGGTAGATCTATGCACCCCGATAGAGACAATGACTGAAGCCATTGGAAACGGTTAAGAACTCTATAAAGGTGGAAGGAGCCAATGTTGTTGCTAGTTTGAGATAAGGAGGAACGGCTTAGATGGCTGAAAGAACATTGGAATTGCAAGGATCGACGACACGAGTTCTGAATATGAAGCCACCGATGGCAAGTTAGGCCAAAAGTTTCACGATCAGAGCCAGAGTCAAGCCATTGGAAGATAAAAAGTAGGCAGTCATCAGGAAGATGCATAATGGTGGTAGGTCCATCTCTAAGATTGTTCTCCATTTAAATCTTGTAAGCAGTCTTCTGAAGGTTGTAAAGCTCGAATCTTTATCATGAATTTCTTATAAGTTGAGCTAGATGAAGTTGGTGAGTCAAAACCACAGAGAGCGGATGAATCTCCATATCCATACCCTATAAAAACTCCACATTTACGGCAAAGAAGTTTGGTTTTTGAACGATAAGGACCACAAGAAATAGGAAGGCAGTTCACCTCATCAACCTGAGTAAATCTACTGAGATCAATGGAAAGGAAGGAGATAAAACCTTTCTTAATAGATTTGCGATACTCAGACCCAATGCCAGAAGTAATACGATTAGAAGATGTTAAGTTAAGAGGGTATCCACAAGCTCCACAACTGCAGATGATTAGAACAGAAATGTATTAGTACACAAGAACTGACATGTAAGCATAACATGCTTTCTATAGAGAACATTAAGATGGAGAAAGAACAAGTATTCCTTAGGATGATATATGGAGCTCTTCAGCTCATAGTAAAAGTCGATGAGCCATTGTAGGCATTTATATGAATTGAGATGCACAACTAACACATATAACACACACCCTCACACACACATGCCGGCCATGGCCTGTGTGTATCATATTGAACACCAGTCACCAGATTTATATGATTTTCATCGCCATAATTCAAAGGACTCAGAGCATCTAGCTCAAATAAACTAAATCTTTGAAGCTGCAGAATCTCTCATCTGGGATTTTGTAATTCAGCATACTCGTGCTAATGGGCAGCTGAAGAAGTGTTCTGAAAAATAAAAGGACATCAATACAGTGCCAAAGAGCAGCTGAAGAAGTGTTCCGAAAAATAAAAGGACATCAATACAGTGCCAAAGAGGGGCAGAATACATGCACACTCAGGTATACAAGGTCAAAGCTGTACACCGCCATGAAACAAAATTCAGTTGTCTGCAAAAGCTAGTTATCCAAAAAAAAAACAGTACGAAGTCCAAACGAAATGAAAAGCAAAGGGGTCACCCTCCCAGTCACCTGACTACATCATATGGGTACCACTCCCCAAAGATGCATGCCAATAAGAATAACTACATATTGCGTTTCCTCTTTCTCCAGCCCAGAATTAACTTGCAACTGATCTATGAAACATCCACAACACACCACACAACACTAAGACTAGTTCCCACATCTTCCCTACCAGTACACAATTAATAGGTAAATGATTGAGTGATTCCCTGACTCCATGACAACTGCTTATTGTAGGAATACACAACCACCTGGGACAGTTCCAATGAAAGAGCCCTCTATCTTATTGAATTCTATTTCAGCTCCATTGAAACCCAGAGGGATGAGTCAGTCCTTCCGAAAAAATATTTTGGACGAGTAGGTCATCGAGCATTAGCTCCAAACGCCCCACAATTAAGCATTGTTTGGTTGTACAATGTCTTCCAAATGACCAGTCACCCAAGAACCAAATGCATATATACCTGCTTTTGCCTAAGAAGAGTAAAAGGTTCCTTTGCATGAGTTCAACTAAATGGTGCTTTAAATTATCCAAATGACCAAGTATTTAAGCATTAGCCTTAAGCACCTTATAATTGACTTCTTCAAGTATAACCTAAATGCAGGTTCTGAATCCAAGGACAGCCCGTTCATGCATTAACAAGAATAAATTCACAAATATAGCATGAGAAGGACTCGCCCGAGTTACCCACATTTCAACAAAAATGCCCCAATTTATAAATCCAAGAACAAAAACAAACGAGCCCCTTGTATTCCGCTACTAAATTCACATCTATGGAAATACATCATCACAAAAAAGCTTCAATTCAACTAATTTCAACCAAAAAAAAAAAAGGGGACAGCCCCAGATAATTATTGCTCAATAAATAATAAATATAATAAATTGAACTGGTTGACAAATTCATCTGATAAATCAGACAAAAGCTAATGACATCAAATTTGATCAAATCATAGAATATCCTGAACCACAAACCGATATATATATATATAGAGAGAGAGAGAGAGAGAGAGATTAAGATTGAGAATAAAAACCTGTAAGATACATCAGCTTGGGACATCCTCGATCTAGATCAAAGATGAAGTAGTTTCCTCTGAGATAGTTGGGAACCCATCGAGCGTCTGACAGAACCCAATCTTTGTCTCTCACATTCGTACCCACTGAGAGAGAAAGAATCAAGATAATAAAAGCTAAAAAAAAAAATAGTATAAACACTAAACAAATAGTAAAGCCATTCTTCAACATGGGAGATGACGACTTTTTTAATGTTTGATTTCTGTTTGGTCGGCAACGTGTACAAATACAGATTCCTATTTGGATCTGGTGTGAACCATCTATATTGACTTGACTTTGTTCTAGATTGACAGTAGTGGGACCCCCACCACAGATGAACCTCGATCTATTTTTTGTGGCTTTTTGGGTAAGTTATTTGTGGTCTTATTTAATAGTACCGAAGATAATCGTGTGTGAAGTTAGTCTACAACGAAAATAAAAAATAAAAAATTTAAGAGAAAAAAATTTTAATGTAAATAATTTTAAGAGATATATTAGTGGTTGATTTGAGATCGTCAAATAAATTTATTAAAATTTGCTCTATTTTATATTATATATATCAAATTTTTTAGGAACAAAAACAAAAATAAATAACTAAAAATTTTAGGGACCTGTTTGGTTTGTATCTTGAAAAAAAGTATTTGATAATAGTTTTTGAAAAAAAAATTAAGAAAAAATTTTTAAAAAAATTTTTAGATTGTAAAATCTATTTAGTTATATATTTTTGAAAATAGTTTTAAATTACAAAAAATTATAAAATCTATTTGGACAATAATCCACAAATCCCATAATTTCCATCTATATCTTTTTTTTCCCTCTTTCTGCCTTCACAAAACCCACGCACCCCACACACACACACACAGATCGTGTGTGTGTGTGTCTTGAACCCAAATCTGTGCTTTAGATCTACACAACGTCATTGAGAGAGAGACAGAGACAGAGAAGCCGCAGACTGAGCACACAGACAGAGACCGAAGAAGATTCCAGAGTTCTTGAACCCAGATTGTTAGGATTTGTCGAAGTGGAGAGATCATTGCACAGCATCTTAAACCCAAATTGTTGCAAAGAAACAGATAGGGGAGATGGAGAAAAAAAATGAACCTAAATCGTTACAGTGTTGTGGAAGTGAAGGGTTTTATACTTTAATAAAAAAATGCATTTTGTTGTTAAGGAAGTTTGATGGGTAGACCTTCTTAAATAGGAGAAGTTGTTTCTCTTGTTTTCTATTTAGCTTGAAAATTTAGAAAATATTATTTTATTGTTCTCTAAAATCACATCTCATTTCCCAAAAATATCAAAAAATGGGAGAACAAAAAAACTAAACAAACAACATCTTCCTTATTTTTACAGTTTTGAGAACAAAAAATTATTTTTGAAAACCAAGCCAAATACATCCTCATGTTCTAATTGATATTAGCAATTTATTTTTAATTTTTTTTTATAAAGAATGTGTTCCAATGTATGAAACTTTTGTTATTATGATGTCTTAAGATAATTAGATCTACACAATTTAAGTTATGTTTGGTTTGCATTTTAGAAATTATTTAACAATACGTTGAACAATTTTTGAAATAAAAGTTGTTTGGACAATTGTTTTTTATTTTTATTTATTGAAAAATAATAAAAAAATTTAGACAGATTTAGAGAACAAGTTAAAACTATTTTATGTATTTTTGTAAACAATCTTTTCAAAATTTAAAAAATATCACCATCAACACCACCATAATCCTACCACCACCACAACCACAACATCCACCCCAAGACCGCAACACTTCCACCACTAACACCATCACCATGTCCACCAAACCATTAACACCACATTTTTATTTTCATTATTTTATGGGTTATTGTCCAAACACATTTTAATGTTTTTTATTTCGATATAACTGGTTTTTTGAATTATATAATTAAACAAGTTATGCGACATAAAAAATATTAAAAATAATTTTCTAAAACTCTTTCCATAAATAATTTTCAAATATTATTTATTGAAACACAAACCAAACAAAACCTTATTTTATTATATAAGAAAACTATTTATATATCTTAAGCCTTAACGTCCAAATTAGTAAAATAATTTTACCGTTGCACTACACTAAGGCATGTTCTCCAAGTATATTGCTTTTATGCTTACATTATTATGTAATTAATGGTGTAGTTGGTAACGTTTTTTATTTTTATGTTTTTTTTTTATAAAAAAAAAAAACTAATTTTTGTTTTTTGTGATAAAAATTAAAAATATAAAAGTTGTTTGGTATTCATTTATATTTTAAAATTTATAAAAATAAAAATTAAAAATGTGTTTGGTATTATATATTTTAGATAATATTTTATTGCTGTTATTTTGATTAATATTTGAATTCCAAATAATGTCCCAATTGGAGAAATTCTTGCTGGGACACACAGATACACATATATAGTCGCAATTACACACATAATTCCATAAATCACACACCGACATACACAGATTACATAGAGGCACACACACATATATATACACATAGATCCATATATATAGCACACATACACACACAAATAAACACACACGTAGATTTATGAATATATAACAACATATATTTAGATCTATGCCTATATATACACACACACACACACACATATATATACACATAGATCTATGTGTATATATATACATATTTTGTCTTTGTCTTCGTGTTTGATTTTGTCTTCATCTTTGTGACAGTGAGTTTTAGAAGAAGCATCGAGAGAGAGAGAGACGGATGAGAGAAAGAGATAGGAAAAAAATAGAAGAAAAAAGGGGTTTTATAGTTGCTACTAAAAAAACCTCATTTTGACGCTAATGAGATTCAAAAACTAAACCTCATTAATTAATAATGGGATGCACGCACGTGTTTTTAGTTTTGAATGTTTTCAAAAACATTATTTTCGGTGTTTATACTTTTGGACCTTGTTTTCAAAACAGTAAAGATTAAATAAACATGTTATTGTTTTTTTTTCAAACAATAAAATAAATAAAATAAAATAAAAAACACAAAGGGGCGATTACCAAAGTTGGTGCTTTTCAGTGTTTTCAAAGTGTAGCACGTGCGGCACCACATTTTGTTAGATCTTCCCCAATTGGGATTTAAATATTTATCCAAATTTTAATAAAAAACTTAATTCGGTATAGACATCTTCAATGGAAAAATTCAAATTTAAAAGAAAATAAACTCAAATTTAAATAAGAACAAATTCAAATTTAAATGAGAATAAATATAAATTTAAAAGATAATAAATATGTCCATTAAATATTTAAAGTAGGACAAAATCTTATTATTAAATATTTGAGTATGAATTTGAATATCTTTTAATTTGAGTAAAAAAAGTAGTTTCTATTCATTTGATATAGTATTGGATTTAGTATTGGGTAAGATTTTTAAGAGTTTTTTTTACCTCAATTTAAATTTGGATTTGAAAAAGAGTAAGAATTAGAGATGCTCTTAGGGTCGGTTTGTTTAGCCGGAGAATGGTAAAAAATACAAGAAAGAGAAATTTTTTAAAATTTTTATGTGTTTGGTTAGCATGAAATGAAAAATGATTAAAAAAATAATTTTTTTTTATGCTTGAATTTATTACAACTAATCAATTTTTTTTCTTGTAACAGAGATGGAAACGTGAAAGAAATATATATTTTTTATTTTATTTGGTAAGAAAAAAAAATAAAGGAACATTATTGCTATTAAAATTCCCAAAACACCCCTAATAGAATATAATATATTATTGGCGAGATACATTATGTTGAAAGGTGTAAATGGTAATTAGACATTACTTAGAAAGATGTATACCCCATCTCAAATACTTTTTTGGTTATTTTTTGCTTGTTTTTTAAGGGATTAAATTTGGTGTGCGAGAGAGATTGTTTTTCCATCTATTTTTTATTTTCTTTCATATTTTCTTTATAACCAAACAGAAACAAATTACATTTTTTTATCTTACTATCCATCAACTACTTTCTATTCATCTATTTTTATTCGAACAATATTACGTGAATTTAAAATACTAACTTAATCAATTATTATCATTGATTTAACAGTGATTCTCAATATTTATTGGGACCCACTCTCAAATAATATTTGTGATTGATCAACTTAATAAATCAAGTCAATATTTTAAGTTGATTTAACATTTTCTTTTTTACTCTTACCAAAAAGGCCATAAATGATTTTATTACCAAAGAACCAAAAGAAATAGAATAAAATCAGTGATAAGCTATTATGCTCAGGTCTGGGCCATAACAACCGGGCCATTAAAGGCCCACATAATGAATGTACCGTTTCAATAAAAGCCCAAATCTCTGGCAGCGAGGCCCTCAACATAACCCTAGCACAAGAAGTAAATGAAACGCACTCCTGACCGTAGATTTCTGTCCCCTCTGCACACTAGGGTTTTAGTATTTGAGCGCCTTCAGCAGCACTTCTCTGTCGCCCTCTCCCAATCCCTCTCCCTCTCCCTCTCGTTCTCGCACAACGAGCTGCGGCTATGGTGAGACTCAAAAACCTAACCATTTTCATTTATTTTTTGCGTTTATGTGTCTTGTTATATGAATATAACCACAGATCTGAGTTGATTTTACGTGTATATATATACATGGAATTCACTTTCCACCTCATGGCTCAAGTATCTCTACGTCAGTGTTTGTAATTCTGTGCGATACAGGAAACAATACAGTTTTGGTTTCTCAGTAAGGGAAACCACAAGTTCGTTCTCCTGCTTTTGAAAATCGGTAAAAATCGATTAATTATTAGTATTTTTAGGTTGTATAGCAAGTGTCAGTGACGTTTGTTGAAGAAATGGTGAGTCATTCACTTATGATTGGTAAGTTATTTGATCATGGACTTATACCGTTGTTTGATCTTCTTACAGGCCTTCATCAAAGCTCAAAAGTCAAGGGCTTACTTCAAGCGTTTCCAAGTCAAATTCAAGAGAAGGAGACGTATGATTTTCATGCTGGCCCTTTACTACTGTGCTCAATAACTTTCCGCTGATTTA